CCTTCCTTCCTTCCTTCCTTCCTTCCTTCCTTCCTTCCTTCCTTCCTTCCTTCCTTCCTTCCTCCCTCCTTCCCTCCCTCCCTCCCTCCCTCCCTCCTTTTCCTCCTCCTCCTCCTTCTCCTCTCCACAATCCCCATTCCCTTCAAGGACTGATAATGTTACCTAGTTGGGTCATGAAATGTTTGGAAGAAGGCAACCAACCTTAGAAAGCACCAAAGACCCCACAATATTATTATTATTGTTGTTGTTGTTACTCCTCCTCCTCCTCTCCACAAACCCCCCTCTCTTCTAGCAGAGCACTAAGCGACTATTCCAATGATCGAGAGTTTATTTTTAGCACCATATTTGCAAAAAAAAAAACACCCCAAAACAGCAGTGATGAAGGGCCCAGAGAAAATCCTTGAAAAATCCCAGAATTGGAAAAGAAAAACCAACCCGCTTGTAATCCTTCCAGATCCGGAACCTCGGCTGGTCTTGGTTGCCTGTGGGCCCTACACCACCTCGGACAGCATCGCCTATGAGCCCATGGTGGACCTGATTGAGATCATCAATAAGGACAAGCCGGACGTTTGCATTTTGGTAATGGAGACCCTTCTGACGTCTGCGGGATTTCTTTGCTCTTTAGAAGTGACCGTTTGAAGTTACAACAGACCTACCTGGGGCCTACTTACCAACCCGATTCGAAGTTCTGGTGGTCAGGGCCTCTCCACAATCATATTGACTGTTCGTTGGACACTTGCTACATAGATGCATTTGTGGTGTCTCATCATTGCCTGTTTTTGGCAAAAAAAAACCAAACCCCAATATCCAATGAATTCACTTAACAGCTGGTATTCACTTAATGACCATCCTGTTTGCACTTAGAACCACTGTGTTCACTTAACAACTACTGCCAAAAAAAACAACAACCCAAACCTCATAGAAACAGGTCGCTTGTGTGTTGGATTCAATTTTATAACTTTCACTTAACGACTGTAATGGACCGGTCGTTTGTTGAGGACTAGCTGTATTGCTAATTTGCAATCCATCAGCGCTACTGGGAGCTAAGGATGTTGAGAGTTGTAGTTGAGAATCGTCACGAATCTGAACCTTTGGATCCAGTTAAGTTTTCATCTCATTCGGCCAGCGTTTATGTTTTGCAAAAGCCTCCTCCTGCTGGGCACTAATTCTCTTTTTTTGCCTGCTTGCTTGATTTTTTGGGGGGGAAATGGTGGCTACCATTCATCAATATTTGGGGTGTGTTTCCCTTCTCTGTCCAGCCTCCTTAACCATGGTTTCCTTTCGTTGTTTGCAGCTCGGTCCCTTCGTTGATTCAAAGCACAAACAAGTCGAGGTGAGTGGAGAAGAGACGCAGATGTTAAAAGTTGGTGGGCTCACAAGTGTTTCTGAGTTCAGAAGTTGGCTTGGGAGTCCAAACCAGGATACCAAATCCCTAAAAACTTCACTGGTTCTTTCCATTTCCCCCCTCCCCCCCTTCATTATTTTTCACTTGTGAACAGTACAATAAAACATACAACCTCGGCGGAATTCTGCAGCTGCTTTAAGTAAGCAAAATCAAATATCAACAAGCTGTTTGGCAGAGGGAAACGCCAAAAAAAGCAAAAACAGCTTTGTTTTCCCCCAAAAATGGATGCTGTCCAGATGTGCTACCCCCAGCTAGTCAAAAGTAATTGTTGTGTTTGATGGGAGGTGTAGTTTCCCCCAAATCTGGAGAGCATTAAGTTGAGAAAGGTCGATGCTTGGCAGAGTCTTAAGTCATAACATGCAATTAGCTTCTGAACAACCTGATTTTAATTGGGGCGGGGTGGGAATTGGAGATTCTACTTTTGATCAACCCACCAAATTGGTTTCTTTCTAGGAAGGGCAGTTGATCATGTTGTACGATGAGGTCTTCAAGAGGTGTTTGAAGACTATCATTGAAGGCACAAGGAGGTAAGAAATCAATTTGTTGACCTGTATTGTTTGCATCGGGGTAGCGGCGTCTTTGCCAGCTCAGTTTCGGGCAAGGAATATTTTCTTCCACCCCTGGAATAGTTGGAGGTTTAATTGGGAGGTAAAATGGAGATTCCCCACAGCTGAAAAAGGTTTTTAAAAATCTTGGTGCTCTCTGAGCTGGGTGGTTTTCTTGCAGACGTTTCATGACCCAACTAGGTAACATCACCAGTGCTAGAAGAGAGGAGGGTTGTGGAGAGGAGGTGGAGGAGGAGGACGGAGGGGTCTTTGGTGCTCTCTGAGCTGGGTGGTTTTCCTGCAGACGTTTCATGACCCAACTAGGTAGCATCATCAGTGTTAGAAGGGAGTGGGGGTTTGCACTGATCATGTTACCTAGTTGGGTCATGAAACGCCTGCAAGAAAACCGCACCAAGGACCCCACGGTCCTCCTCCTCCTCCCTTTCCTCTCCACAATCCTTACTCCCTTCTAGCACTGATGATATTACCTAGTTGGGTCATGAAACATCTGCAAGAAAACCGCCAAGCTCGGAGAGCACCAAGCACCCCTCATTTCAACCCTGAGCTACAAATATTCTTTTCCTTTGGTAAGAAAAACCTGCTGCCTGAAGATTGCTTGATTTAAGTGTCTGTGTGTGTATATATACATACACTCTGATATAAATCTAAAAATAATGCATCCAAGCTTTTCCTACCGTCAATCCAACATCACATAGCTAGTCCTTACCTTACAACCATAACTGAGCCCAGAATTACAACTGTAAATCATGGCAGTCATTAAGCGAGTCACCACATGGCCGTGCCCAATTTTACGACCCATTTTCAAGTGGTTCTGAAAGCGAACCCATTTTCAAGAATGGGCATTTTTTGCTGGAAACTGAATCTAAATACCAGAAACCAGCAAAAGTTGCTGTTTAGGTGACCACAGAATGCAAACAGCCATAAATATAAGTCTGTTACCAAGCAACCTAAAAAGTGTTATCATGTGACCACAAGGAGGTTTGGCCATCTAAATTACAAAAAACGGGTCCTAAGTAGCTCTTGAGCTCCGTTGTGAGTTCTCCTGGTCATTAAGCGAGGACTTAAACCTGCATTCCTGATTCTCACAAGCTTGTGTCTCTCTTTCATCCCACACAGTGCCGGCTCCCACCTTGTGGTTGTGCCTTCATTGAGGGACGTACACCATGTGTGCATATATCCCCAACCACCTTTCGTCTGTGAACTCGCCAAAGAAGACCGACAGGTAATTTCTCCACTTTTCCGACAAGCTCCACCTCCCTCAGTCTGTTTACAGGCGGTCCTTGACCACCATTAACCCTGACATTTCCGTTTTTAAGCGGGACAGTTGTTAAAGTGAGCCTTGCCCCGTTTCACGAACTTTCTCGCCGTGGTTTTTAAGTGAACCACTGCAAGCTGTTAAGTTAGTTGCCCGGTTGGTTAAGTTGAATCTTGAGTTTTGCCCCCATTTTATGATTTTTCTTGCCAATAACCCTGAAGTGAATCATTTCAGTTGTTAAGTGAGTCACCCGGTTGTTAAGGGAATCCGGCTTCCCCATCGACTTGGTGTGTCAGGAGGTCGCAAAAGAGGGAATCACTTGACCCCTGGGACACTGCCGCCGTCATAAATGGGAGTCAGTGGCCAAGCGGCTGAATTTGAATTTTTTGGCCATGGGGATGCTGCAAGTGGTCGTAAGTGTGAAAAATGGTCATATGTCACTTTTTTCAGGGTCCTTGTAACTTCGAGTGGTCACTAAATGAATAATTTAGTGTTGGGGGTTTTCAATTCAATGTGTGGAGTGTGAAGGATGTGTGTTTGTGTATTTTCATGGTCATGATGGTGCACTGAAGATTATGGTGACACAAAAATAACGAAATCACAAAAGGAGAATAAATTCCCTTTAATATCTTCAACTTGGCCCCCAACGTCCAATTATCCTCGGCTGAAGATCAAACTCTTCCAAAAACAGTCTACGAAGGGAAGAAAAGCAGTCCAAACCCAAAGTACAGATAAATTAGAAATAAAAAAACCCAACACAAACCACACTGAAGCAATTAACACGGCAGGCCAGGATGATAAATTGCAGACTTTCAAAGGATAACATAGCAACCACAGTTGGGAGGATGCCAAAATCCAGATAAGCCTCAACCAAGAAAATGCACTCTTTGCTTTGAGCTGTGTGCAAACGCCCCACTTATATCCTGTTCTCCCAGCTGCAACTAATGAAGGGGATCAGGGCCCTTTTCTCTCCCGTAAGCCATATTGCTCCATTCTCCATTTCTCCCTGTGTGCCCCAGGATGAAGAGGGGTGGGTCTTGGTCTTCCTCTGAATGCCCAGCCGGACTGTCCCCTTCCTCCGTTTCTTCCACAGCCACCGGAGCCAAACTCCCACTCCCAGTCAGTTGCTCGATTTCCCCGTCAGAATCAGACTCCAACAAGGGCAGGCAAAGATGGTATGTCAGCTTTGGAAGCCATATTGAGGTCAAATGCTCCCACACTGCCACATTTTGTGCCCGGGAAAGAGGGAGTGGGGAATACATTGGAGTACATCTAGTTAGACTTAATAACATTCTTTTTCTGATTCAAGGTCAGGTTGTGTTGCGCATAAGTGAGAGGACGTCTGAAGTTGGGACGGATGGTGATTGGGGCATGTGATGCGATGATGATGGGTGCAGGGGATGGGTTTTGTAGTTTTTACCTATTGCAAGGAAACCCGGAACTTCCAGATTCGGGATTCCCCAGTTGTGCCAAGTTTACTATCCAAAATAAAAAGAACTTTGGTGAAGATCTCTGCCTCGGAGTAATTGGTTGGAGCGTCAGCTGGAATGCTGACATGGTGTTTGATTTCCTTGTACGAGGCGCAATGACAATAAACTAAACTAAACTAAACTAAAACTGTAAGTCGAGGGCTATCTGTGTTTGAATTGGTCACTAAACGAACTGTTGTAAGTCGAGGACCACCTGTATAATTACTTAACAACCGTTCATTGAGTGACCAAAGTTACCACGCTACTGAAAAAGGGGCTTTTTTCACACTTAACGACCGTTGCAGCATCCCCATGGCCACGCGATCACAATTCAGATGCTTGGCAGCTGACTCGTATTTACGACGGTCACAGTGTCCCGGGATTCTGTGGTCCCCTTTTGCGACTTCCTGACAAACAAAGCCAACGGGGAAACCGGGTTCACTTAACATCCACGTGACTAACTTAACAAAGGCAACGATTCACTTAGCAACCGGGGCAAAAATGGTCGTAAAACGGGGCAGAACTCAATTAACAAAGGACTCCCCTGGCAACAGGAATCTTGGGATCGATTACGGTCGTAAGTCAAGGACTTGCCTGTGCAATGTTTAGAGCTGCTTAGGTTTCCGCAAAGGTTGATTGGATTGGCCCAAATTCTAAAGAACCATTGGATTTGCAAGAAAGCCACCAATTGATGCAGGCCGGTGATGCCTTTTCTTTGCCTCCTTGTTTTGCTTTGTAAGAAGAAAGTAAGTATTTCAAGCACCTTTTTCTGTGTGTGTGCAAACATTTAACGTAACCGTCAGCCGGAAATCTGATGTTTGCAAAGAGAATTTGAAGCCAAAATAATCCGATGCCGAAAAGTGTTGGCTGGATGGTTTGATTTTTTTGAGAACTTGTCCGGTGGTTTCCTTCCAATTCATTTGATAAGAAAAAAACATTGATTCAGACCAGGCTTTTAAACTCTTAAGATTTAAGGGCCAAATTTTAATTTTTGGATTTGCAGGTGTTGGCTTTTTTTTCTTTTTCTAGCAACGGAGATTCCAGGTGTTCCCAACAGGTGCTGCTGAGCTCCAGCTGGTTCAGAGCCACCAGCAGGGGGCGATAGTGCTTACTTTTTGGCTTTGACTTGCCAAAAAAAATAAATAAAAATGGGTTTTTTGTTTTTTCTCAAGAAAAGCTAAGAATTTCCTGTCCTTCGGATGAGAAATTGAAGATGTTTTTCCGGGAAAGGCCAAGGCAACAGAGTGACTCAGGCTTTAGTGCAAAGCGTCACTGGTTTGGAAGGGGGGAAATTATTGTGATTTTCTTTTCCCCTTTCAAGTTTCCGTCCTTGCTGGTTGCATTTTATTTTATTTTTTACAAATTCTTCCTCTGCTTTGCTGTCCCTTTTATCTTACATTTTCATCCAGGGTTGGACATTTACACGACTTTTTCTTTTATGGCAAAAAGTGGCCAGGAGGCCCAGGAATTTTCTTTTGGGAGATACTTCACGCTGAAACAAGATTTCTAAGAAAGCTGTTAAGAGCCAGCCATAAAATAGCTTTTTGTTCTGGAGTTTAGAGGCCAAATGACATATCACGAAAGGAAAGAGGCTTCAGGAGGGAGGAGGAAAAAAAAAACGGAGGTTTTGCCTGGAAAATGGAGGTTTTGCCTGGATGGGGCAATTGTATTGCAGGCTGTCAGAAATGGTGTAGGGTCTCCTACCCCATCTAGGTTGGACTAGATGACCTACAAGGTCCCTTCCATCTCTGACTATCTGTTAGGCTGCAGAATTCTGCAAGTTGAAGTCCCACAAGTCTTAAAAAGTTGCCAAAAGTTGAAGACCTTTGCTTATACCTGTGTTTTCCCCGAAAATAAGACCCTGTCTTATATTTTTTTCCCCCACCAAAAAAAGGCACCAGGTCTTATTTTCAGGGGTTGTCATCCACTGACTAACCTCACTTACGTGCATCGCTCCGGCCTCCTTTTCGCTCTCAGAGGCCTTCAGGAACTTCTTCTGTGGTTGGCAAGGCTTTCCTGAAGGCCTCTGCAGCCAATAACAGAGCTCAGGATCGATCCAGAGCTTTGTTCTCAGCCATAGAGGCCTTCAGGAAAGCCTTGCCGGCCTTGCTGGCTGCAGAAGAAATGGGCCGGCCAGGCAGGTGTCAGGGTATGCGAGGCCTGGTTACAACTGTCCAAAGGTAAGTAGTAGGGCAGCTCCAACCTCCCATCTCCACCCTAGCTTAATTTTTATACTCTGGAGTGGGCAGAATCTTAATTAGGGCTTATTTTGGGCGCAGGTGTAAAAATCAAGCTAGGATTTACTTTCAGGGTAGGTCCTATTTTCAGGAAAACAGGGTAGAAACTTTGCTAAAGTTCTTGAAAGGGGAAATGGGCAACTTTCATTCTGGCTGGGGGGGTGTGGGTTTTTGTTCGGGGCCGGCTGGGGGATTCTGGGAATTGAAGTCCCCCCCCCCCCATGCCTTCCCAATGGCCACGGTTGAGAAATGGGGCGTTTACATCTCCTTTTCAGAAAAGGCAGACAAGGAACTCGGGTGTGCCGTCAGAAACACACACAAACACACCCGCCCTTTTCTCAAAAGCGGCAAGCCGAGGGGATTCCCTCCTCTTGAGACAGATCCAAGTACAGCAGGAAGACACCAGGGGCAACCTTGGGCTGCGAGGCTGTTTATTTTGCTGGGTCAATCCCCTCGGGAAATACCGTACATCCCTAAATCATAATTACTCAAGCAGTGAAATTCCCCAGCTCAGAATTAACCACGTCCTGTGGCTGTCGAAAGAAAGTAGACCTGGGGGTGGTTTGCGACTTCCATGTCGTAGAATCCCACGCTAGCTGAGGAATCCTGGGAGCTGAGATTCCAGCACTTTTGGAAGAATGTTGGCCTGGGGAATGTTGGCTTGATCGTCAGAGCCAGTCAAGGTTTAGAAAATCTCACTTAACTCCGTAGTTACTTTGGCGACGGCATTCAGAAAAAGTTTGCTGAATTAATGCCTCTTTACTGGTGTCTTTTTTTTTTTCACCTCCAAACTCCACAGCGAGTGCTCTTCGTCCCCGATCCCTGCACCTTAGAGATCGACGGGGTGATTTTCGGCTTAACCTCGGTGGATTTGCTCTTTCACATGGGAGCGGAAGAAATCAGCCGGTAAGATCCTTGCAAAAAATGTTCCGTTGCACACAGGCGAGCGAGCGACGAAGGGCGAAAGATTTTACCCGGTCCAAAATTTTTATTTGTTTTTAAGAAAGCATAAAAAGGTAAAAGGTTCCCCTCGCGCATACGTGCTAACCGTTTTCCGGCTCTAGGGGGTGCTGCTCATCTCCGTGACAAAGCCGAAGAGCCAGCGCTGTCCGAAGACGTCTCCGTGGTCTTGTGGCTGCCAGGATTAAACACAGAAAGTGCACGGAGCGCTGTTCCCTTCCCACCAAAGGAGTCCCCATTTTTCTACTTGCATTTTTTATGTGCTTTTGAACTGCTAGATTGGCAGAAGCTGCTGGGACAAGGAACGGGAGCTCGCTCCGTTACGTGACGCTAGGGATTCGAACTGCCAACTTTCCTAATCGACAAGCTCAGCGTCTTAGTCACTGAGCCACCGCTACACACAAAAAAATCCTAAATGTAAAATAGGGGAGGAAAAGTGAAAGAGAGAAAAGGGTAGAAACAGGGGAAAAAGGAAAAAAGAAAGAGGATTGACTTCCGAATCCTTTTGGGGCAGTCGAAGTAGATTCAGGTAGTCCTTGACATACAACAGTTCGTTTAGCAACCGTTCAAAGTTACGACATTACGGACAAAAGTGACTTATGACCGTTTTTCACCCTTATGACCATTGCAGAATCGGGATAATCAAAATTCAGAGACTTGGCAACGGACTCCTATTTATGACGGTCGCAGTGTTACGACAGCAGCGGGGGGAAAAAAGGGTGTTTGGACCGTTTTTTTCACACTTAACGGCCGTTTCAGCACCACCATGGTGACATGACCTTGGCAACTGACTCACAATTATGATGGTTGCAGCATGCCGGGGTCCTGTGATCCACTTTTGCGACCTCCTGACACACACAGTCCTTGAGGGTAGCCGGATTCGTTTAACAACGATGTGAATCACTTAATGATGGCAGGGATTCCTTTGTGGCAAGAAATGACATTATTAAACGGGGTGAAAACTCGCTCAACGAACGTCTCACTTAGCAACGGGAACGTTGGACTCAACGGCAGTCGTAAGTCAAGGACTACCTATGGGAAACGAATATTTTTTGTTCTATGACTATTCTCGATTTTTAGCCTAGAAAACAAGCCGGCTAACACTACTGCCCCCTCCTTGCTGTGTGTGTGTGGGGGGGTGAGCGTGTCAATTGGGCTCTTGCACAATCCCAGTTGCACAAGCCGAAAAAACACTGATCTGGAGGGAGCAACGAGTGTGAGAGAAAAATGCCGTCCCTCGCACAGGCTGGGATCAAAAGTGACTCACACACGGCTCACAAGCGACAGGAGGAAGAGAAAGAAACTTGGAAGTGGGTGTGTGTGTGTGAGGGGGGGTCATCGGCGGCTCTCCCAGACGGTCAAAAAGTTTGCATGACTTCCGGAAACGTTGCACTGCCTTTGCAAGTTAGTCCTCGACTTCACGGCCAGGATTTCCCGTTGCTAAGCGAGGGCGGCGGTGAAGGGAATTGCGCCCGATTGGATGGCCTCTTTTTTTCCCCATTATTGCAGGTGGTCCTCGACTTAACAGCCCCCCAAAATGTCTGCGGCTGAGCGAGGAACGTTGTTCGGATTCTTCTGCTCCGTTTTACGACTTGCTTCCTGTCGTGTTTTGTGAAGTGAATCCCTGCGGTTTTTAAGTCAGTCACGCGGTTCTTAAGCGAATCTGGCTTCCCCGCTGAGTATGCTTGCCGGAAGGTCACTAAAAGAGGATCTTGTGATGCCTTCTTAAAAAAAGAGAGAGAGATGAACTCTTTTGTCTGGAGCAAATGTGATAAAGGTGTTTTTTTTTAAAATAACACTTCGATTATCCATGACTAAGCCGTGGGCGTCAGCAAGTAAATGTTGTGACTAACATATGAGGAGGTTTGCAAAAAAATAAAAATAAATAAATGTGACTACGTTTCTCTGACCTCACACAAGATAAGGCATCTTTTAGTGACCCAGCAGGATTGCAGTACAGACGGATGCAAAAACGTTTTTCCCCTATTTTCCGTGGAAGTTTTGGTGTGGGCGTGTGTTGGTTAATTTTAAAAAGGTGTTAATTGCAACGATTCAGAACTTAAAATGGAGCATCGCACGAACAGAATAAATATATGCAATAGGTAGAACAACCGAGTTGGTCCAATTAGTACTATTGTTATGTGATTAATATTGATACTAAGATTACCATTATGATTATTGTCATATCTCCATTCAAAACTAATTATACCCGGATAATACGCTGTTCAGAGAGATATGGAGTGTTTATGTGTATAAAAAAGAAAAATGTATTAATAAAACCGTAACTCTTCCATCCTTCCGAGGTGGGTAAAATGAGGACCCAGATTGTTGGGGGCAAAGGCTGACTCTGTAAACCGCTTAGAGCCCTGTAAAGCACTGTGAAGCGGTATATAAGTCTAAGCGCTATTGCTATATATATTTTTTTAAAAGAATGACAGAGTTGGAAGGGACCTTGGAGGTCTTCTAGTCTAGCCCCTGGCTCAGGTAGGAAAAGTCAACGGATAAAATCATGGGTTTGTTTAAGAGCCAAGTTTAATCCTCCTTTTGAGAAACAGTTTTCTAAGCCATCAACTTCATCCCTTCCTACATTTTATCCTCCACACAACCCTGTAAGGTAGGCCAGCCCCGAAGTCTATTCAGCAAATTCTTAATTTAATTTTTTTTTTCACCTTTCTTGCTCTGTTTTTTTTTTTTTTTTTCACCCCTGCTCAGCTCTTCCAATCTTCAGGATCGTTTTTCCCGAATTCTCAAACACATCCTGACTCAGCGGAGGTAAGCCACTTTGGAACGTGGTTTGTGTTTTGTTCTAGAATTTGCCGCCTGCCACGAAAACAGACACACCCCAACTGCAGTTTGTGTCCATGCTGGGCCCAGGGGAGGATTGGGATTTAAAGGGAGGCTTTCTGCCTCCTCAAACAATGTATGGGACAAAGGGAGATTCTAGTCCTCATGGTTATGAATAGAGCATTGGTTCATTATATTTAAAAAAAAATCTATGCTCAATTAGCTGTAGCTTGGTGAAGTTTCAAACGTGGCTTTTCAGGAAATGGGCCGAGAAAAGAACTAAATCTTCAGACATACAAAAAAGCTTCATAGGATTGAGAGGAAGGGAAGGGAAGGGAAGGGAAGGGAAGGGAAGGGAAGGAAGGAAGGAAGGAAGGAAGGAAGGAAGGAAGGAAGGAAGGAAGGAAGGGAGGGAGGGAGGAAGGAAAGGGAGGAGGGAGGAAGGAAAGGGAGGAGGGAGGAAGGAAAAGGGAGGAAGGAAAAGTTAAAGGGGAGAGGTAGAAAATGGAAGGTGGAAAAGAGAAGAAAAGAAGAGGAAGGAAAAGAGGGAGAAAGAAGAAAGGAAGGAAAGAAGAGATAGGAAAGAAAGGAAAAGGGAGAGAGAAAGACAGGAAAGAAGGAAGAAAAGGAAAAAAGAGATAAGGAAGGGGAAAAAAGGGAATGGAGGGAGGGAGAAAGAAGGGAGGGAGAAAGGAAAGAAAAGGAAGGAGGGAAAAGAAAGGAAAAGGGAGGGAGAAAGAGAGGGAAAGAAGGAAGGAAAGAAGAAATAAGGAAGGAAGGAAAAAGGTGGGAGGGAGAAATCAGACAATACTGGCCAGAGGGTGGGAAAGGCCACGATGTCACCCCTGTGCGCCCCTAAAAGACGACCCTCTACATCTTGGTTTATTTCTTGGGCCAAACCATCATGCTTTGTTTGGTTTTGCTTCCATGTGCCTTACAAACTCCGCCATTCTGGTTTGTAAACGTGATTGAATTGACCTGATCCGATAACCTCCACCCATCGCAGGTGACGGACAAACCACCTTGAAATAAGCCACGGCTTGCTGGGGTCCTCTCATTCCACCCCATAAC